ATAAATTTTTTTTTTATATTGCATTCTCATAGTGCCACAAGGGAATGTTGGAAATTGCATTTTTGTCACACAAGACTGTCACTTTATAAACCAGCTAAATGAGTAGTATTTTCTAACAAACTTTATTGTTATTCCTCATCAACTGTACACAAACTATTATATTGTACAGTCAATGACTGCATGAGGACAGCAACTAAATAGATGAATAAATAAAAGCATATAAATAATGGATGAGGACTGGATGCTGCAAGATTGTGATTTTACCTGGAAGGCTGCAGAAAGAGCGGGACCATATCCCAAAGTGGTATGGATGTTCTTTACTAGAGTTGGACTTCTGTAGAGACAACCATATAAACACACATTCAGTTCAGTACAGAAACGAGTCATACTGTCTCCAGTCTACTGAACAGATTGATTTTACACTGAAGTCAGTATTTAGAGTACAATCTGATTTCCAATGAAACTCAATAGGAAAATCAATAGACGGCACTAAACTATCAAACACTGTTTAACACTCTCTCTCTACAACTCTGTCCCAAAACTTGCTGCCTACTTGCCTACTCCACTTCCAATGAAAAGGCTGTTCTAAAATAATAATGTTCCAGATGTATTTTTCCCATAAATTTTTCTCAAAAGGATTTTTAAAAAGTCTTTGTTAAAGAGTGCCATGATTCAAACTTACCAGCTGCATGATGAATCACAATATCACAACTTTGAGTTGAAGCAAAAAAATAAATAAAAAATAAACTCATAAAATGACAAGGTACAAGTCTGTGTACTTAACAGCGTTAATGAGGGTAAGAACTACAAATATCATATGTAGACCATAGATAACAAGGAAGCTGGCTAAGTTTTGGAACAGAGTGTATATATATGTGAATATATCTTTTATTTTTTAACATTGCATATTATTACACAATCTCATGAGCATTTCATCCATTACGAAAAACAGAAATAAAAAAAGCATAAGATATGAAAGGCTACATACAGAATGAGTGAGCACATAGAGGCAGAGCATGCAGGGAGGGGGCGGGGCAGAGGGCGGTGCTTACTGTACAAGCAGCTCGTCACAGCTTTCGACGGCCGCATTCTTCCTGGGGCGGCCTCGTTGTATGTGGCGACCACGTTTAAACTCTTCATCGTCTACGGTCCAAAAGGACCCAAAGTCATCCTCAACTCTTACAAAGCATTTATGCAGGGAGAGATTGGTGCGCACGGCACCCTGGGTTTGGGGATAGGGGCAACAAGCAGCCAGATGCAGATGTAGCAAGACAGACAGACAGTGATAGAGAAGAGGATACGAAATGAATGAATGGATAAGCACAAGTGACTGGGGGTTACGGTGCACATAGCCAGCACATAACTCACATTCGGGAACAGAGACGCACGCTAAAGCTAGCAGGGGGGGTCAATGGACAGCACAGCACAGAGACAATGACATGGAGCCCATCCATCAACACCACGAGACACGGGTTTGGTCAGCCACACTACGCGGGTGGCACTGGAACACCTACCCGCTGATCTTTTGCGGCCTTCTCCTTTGGAACTCTAGCTCGTCGACGGTCCATACCGCCCCTTTAACGTTCTCTACCCGCACAAAACACTTGTGAAGACTAAGGTTATGTCGCACTGCGTTCTGCAGTTGGTGTGAGAGAAAAAGAAAGGCTATGAGTGCAAAAAGAAACGTGCTGGAATAAATGAGACACTTTTTTTTATAGAACCCACATTCTCTTGTATTGTTCAATTTGATAAATTTCTATTAAAGGGGTCCTATTATGCTTTTTCACTTTTTCAACTTTAGTTCTGTCATCATTTACTCATGATTTTAGATGTTTTGCAGAATGCCTGGCTGTCAATGGCACCAAACAGCACTGATTATCACACGTCTCATAATAATCACAATGTGGAGTTTGAAATTTGACAGCTAAGACGGGAAGGCAATTAAGACTTAAATATGGTCTGCTTGTCACACAAACCTATTATATAACTTCAGACTTTTATGGCACTTATTTAGAGTTTGAAAGAGCAGCAAGGACATTCTTCAAAACCTTTCCTTTTGAGTTCTATGAAGAAATAATGTCAAACAGGTTTGGAACGACATAATGGTAAGTAAATGATGACAGAATTTTCATTTTTGAGTGAATTATTACTTTAAGGATTTGAAAGAATTCCACTGTTTTCCAATAAAATTATATAAACATCCTTAAAACAAGATAAATTCACCTGAAAAGCAACATATTAAACATTATTTTCAGACAATATTTCAAATAAGTCTTTTTGCACAGTTTTATTAGATTTTTTAAAGTTAGATCTTATGTAATATACACTATCATTGAAAATTTTAGGTCGATAAGATGATACTTTTATTCAGCAGTGATGCATTAAATTAATTTAAAATGTCAGTAAAAACATTTATAATGTTACAAAAGATTTCTGTTTCAAATAAATTCTGCTCTTTTGAACTTTCCATTTATCAATCCTGAAAAAAAAAGAAACTTCTGAATGGTAGTGTATAATGTTTTTTTTGTAGTTGCTATTTCATATAGTTGCTTCACTTCAAAAACGGAAACTGAAAGTGCTTGAGTTAAATGCCAACGCTCAACAAACTACCAGGGGAAAACATCCTACTCAAATGACCAGATTTCCCTTTAAAGCTGTTGAAATTCTTCCAGAGTAAACCGAAAAACACTTTCACCATAAATCCAAATGAAGAGGGAGTCTCTTCCAGAAATTTCTAAGGACCATTAAGTGAAATAAATCATATCTGGGGAAATAATGCATACTTTCTCTGGGTAATTTGAACTTGTTGACAAAATCCCATTGGGCAAAATAGCATAAATTACACCAATTTTTACATGGTTTCTATTTGTATCTCTGGTGTCATTTGGAATAATATATTTTTTTTAAACAATGTTCATTATGTTATGATATCTTAATATCTGGGAACATAAATATGTTTGTCAGTAGTAGTTTGTTTAAAGAACTAAAATATACAGTCACGTCTAAAAGTCTGAGAACACAAGCAAAAATATTTCTGTTTTGCATTATAATTTGATCTAATTTCCTTATTTTTAAATTGCAACAATATTTGTCTCGAATGTGCTTTGATTTGTAACTTTTAAACCTTATTCTTCTTTTCATGTATCGTGTGCTTACTTCTTTTTCTTTTCAAAGTTCTAAAACTTCATTTCTAGGTTTAAACTAGATTTTAGTTATGCTAGGAGTTATTGTAAACCCAACAGTTCCTCCATACATCTTCAACAATCCAGTTTTTTTTTTTTAGTCTTCTACTTCATTTGATATTTTTTATTGTCAACTACTGAGAAAATTCCAAATTCATTGTATATTATTGAATGCAGGAAATAGAACACAGGAATTATGAGTTCACCTTCCACGTCGCTGCATTGTGTCTGAAATATGCAAACATTCGCGTGAACCAGTTGTAGATCTCGTTTAGTGTTAGCTGTTTTTCTGGTGACTCTAGTATTGCCTGGAAAAAAACACACACACACACACACACACACACACAAATGCTGATAAGTAAAAAGCAGTTCCATTTCCGTTCAAACCTGGAGCAAAAACAAAGTGAGATGCACATGGTTTGTCAAGTTAAAGTTGATCTGAGTGTGCATGTAAAATAGCTCCATGCTTTTCCGTTCTCAAATGGGAGCTACTTTGTTTACTGATCGCTTCCTTATGCAAATGTGCCAATTTGAGTACATCCTTTTCCGCTAAATGACTAGAACTAAAAATTATCCCGGGCCCAGATTAATGCCTGTGTGATCACAGATTACCCGTTCAGGCCTGATAATTGACTGGGCATCTCAAAGACGCCCCGTTCCTACTGTTGTGTGAAATGAATTCCGTAATAATCACATTGGCTGTAATACTTAATCAAAAGTAATTGTTATATATGGGCGTTTTTTGCCCCCTCTATGAACAGCAAGTGCTCTCATGCTCATTTGCAGATGGCTAATCTTGAGCTCTGCTGTTAAATTGCATCTGAAATTTAATGGCTTTGATGGTGGGGGTTTATGGGTTTGTCTTTAAAGAAGTTTGTTAACGCTGAATATTTATACTGCATACATATTGTTATATGCAAGTAAAATCTAAAGTGTAGATGCTCAATTACAATGCAGTAGGTGAGTTAAATATATCACGCAAAGTGGCTGCATTCTTACCTGTCGTAATAGCGAAGCATATGTGAAAGGAGGTCGTACTTCAGCATTCATGTAGAACTCTTTGTTCTGAACAATATCTGTTCACAAAGACCAGACACAAATATAAAAAAATTAACTGAAACCTGGTCACACTTTGCATTACATTAAAGACAGCATATAGTGCTCAAGCTATGTTCCATATAAAAGGCAAAGAAGTATATGGGCAAATTAAGAATCAAATTCTGCACCAGAAAAAACTAAAGAAAATCACATTTTCATTAATCAGTTAAAATATAAAATAAAATAAATAAATAATGATATGCTATTTTGAATTCTGTTATGTTACAGTAATGAGAATTTTTGTGGAAAAAATGTATTTACTTACCATGAAAATAATGCAAAAAATAATAAAATATGGTCCTAAAATGAGTCTTTTTCTTCAGCTTTCTTCAAAACTTACATTTAATATAGATGTTACATTTAATGTATTATTTCAATTAATTAAATTTATTTATATACTTATTTCTATTTTAGGGTGAAATGTGACCTGCACATATTTTTGTAAGATTTACCCACTGATCCTGATGATTCAATGTATTGTATGTCACAATGAAGCTTCCAAGCAGTCTGTCTGTACCTGGAGATATGGGCATGTTGTACTTGTCCAAGTAGCGTCTGCGCATGGTACCGACACTGTGCAGGCTGGTGGGGGTGATAACGGAGTGGGTTTGTGAGAGCGGCGTTAGGGGGGCCGTTGGGGTGGTGGGCGTTTGGGGTAAGCTGAGGGGTGGCGAAGCCTCAGGAGCCGTCTTGGACAGGGTGACGTTAGAGACCAGGTTCAGCTGAAAAGAACAGAATAGTATGAGAGCCTGTTCTAGTACACCCCCGAAACAAAATCAAGACTTTGTAAAAGAGCATAATAGGACCCCTTTAAAAAATGAAAGTCATCATTTACTCATGATTTTAGATGTTTTGCAGAATGCCTGGCTGTCAATGGCACCAAACAGCACTGATTATCACACGTCTCATAATAATCACAATGTGGAGTTTGAAATTTGACAGCTAAGACGGGAAGGCAATTAAGACTTAAATATGGTCTGCTTGTCACACAAACTTATTATATAACTTCAGACTTTTATGGCACTTATTTAGAGTTTGAAAGAGCAGCAAGGACATTCTTCAAAACCTTTCCTTTTGAGTTCTATGAAGAAATAATGTCAAACAGGTTTGGAACGACATAATGGTGAGTAAATGATGACAGAATTTTCATTTTTGAGTGAATTATTACTTTAAGGATTTGAAAGAATTCCACTGTTTTCCAATAAAATTATATAAAAATCCTTAAAACAAGATAAATTCACCTGAAAAGCAACATATTAAACATTATTTTCAGACAATATTTCAAATAAGTCTTTTTGCACAGTTTTATTTGATTTTTTAAAGTTAGATCTTATGTAATATACACTATCATTGAAAATTTTAGGTCGATAAGATGATACTTTTATTCAGCAGTGATGCATTAAATTAATTTAAAATGTCAGTAAAAACATTTATAATGTTACAAAAGATTTCTGTTTCAAATAAATTCTGCTCTTTTGAACTTTCCATTTATCAATCCTGAAAAAAAAAGAAACTTCTGAATGGTAGTGTATAATGTTTTTTTTGTAGTTGCTATTTCATATAGTTGCTTCACTTCAAAAACGGAAACTGAAAGTGCTTGAGTTAAATGCCAACGCTCAACAAACTACCAGGGGAAAACATCCTACTCAAATGACCAGATTTCCCTTTAAAGCTGTTGAAATTCTTCCAGAGTAAACCGAAAAACACTTTCACCATAAATCCAAATGAAGAGGGAGTCTCTTCCAGAAATTTCTAAGGACCATTAAGTGAAATAAATCATATCTGGGGAAATAATGCATACTTTCTCTGGGTAATTTGAACTTGTTGACAAAATCCCATTGGGCAAAATAGCATAAATTACACCAATTTTTACATGGTTTCTATTTGTATCTCTGGTGTCATTTGGAATAATATATTTTTTTTAAACAATGTTCATTATGTTATGATATCTTAATATCTGGGAACATAAATATGTTTGTCAGTAGTAGTTTGTTTAAAGAACTAAAATATACAGTCACGTCTAAAAGTCTGAGAACACAAGCAAAAATATTTCTGTTTTGCATTATAATTTGATCTAATTTCCTTATTTTTAAATTGCAACAATATTTGTCTCGAATGTGCTTTGATTTGTAACTTTTAAACCTTATTCTTCTTTTCATGTATCGTGTGCTTACTTCTTTTTCTTTTCAAAGTTCTAAAACTTCATTTCTAGGTTTAAACTAGATTTTAGTTATGCTAGGAGTTATTGTAAACCCAACAGTTCCTCCATACATCTTCAACAATCCAGTTTTTTTTTTTTAGGGGGATAACGGAGTGGGTTTGTGAGAGCGGCGGTAGGGGGGCCGTTGGGGTGGTGGGCGTTTGGGGTAAGCTGAGGGGTGGCGAAGCCTCAGGAGCCGTCTTGGACAGGGTGACGTTAGAGACCAGGTTCAGCTGAAAAGAACAGAATGAAAACAGGGCACAACATTGTTAGTCACCGCTGATGCCTGCGGATGCTAATTGTTAACACACCATCCAATCAATCTTTGCACCGCAGAGGAGCATTGGTGGCATGTTGGTTTGTAAATATTTGTAAGCACCATGCTTTCGCTTTCCGTGCCCATCATTCTGTGAGCAAATAGCATACATCCCCCTGGTCGCCCTTTTGTTTGGTCTGCTGGCTTGCTCCCAGAATGCTTTGCTCATTCTCTTTGCTCTCAGGCGGCAGTAGCATTCTTGCTGGCTTGATGGAATGAGTTTCTCACCAAGCCCTAAGAGGTTCCTAATAAGCTGCAGACACAGAGAGGTCAATCTACACTAATTACAGGCTCAAATTGTATTGTAAGGACCCTAATTAGTCGCTACTTATGGGGGTGATACTACGATTAAACGTCACATCTGAATGACCCTCATCAGCCCAAAGGTTTGGAATAAGATGGTTCTTCTGGAGAAATAGTTTCCAGAGAAACACTTTCTTCCTCCCTTATCAAGTGGCATGAGGAGGGGGACTAGTAATAATGGCTATAAGGTAAACTAATTAACCAGCGGGTTAGTTAAGGTGCATTCTTGCTTCCAGAAGCTACGTTGAGTCGTCAGTGTCACATTTCCTCTTCTGCTGGAGTGGAAAATGCGAGCCTGACCTGACGATCCTGCTATTAATTTGTAGGAGATGAGAAAAAAAACCTAATGACACATATACATATTTCCCCCACCAAATTGTTTTAATTGCTAATTTGCCAAATCTGCGGTCTACGAGGAGGGAGACCATGCGACAAATACAAGGACAAACAGAGAGGGGCCAAGAAAAAAAACATCGAGAGGGCACGCGGAGGTGGGTTTTTTGTCGTGCGCCACAATCGCCCACAGATTGGATGAGTGAATTAATGAAATGTCAAGGCTGTCAATTGCTTTGGAGGTATCAGATGTCTAATTTTGCTCTATAATGGCACCGCTGACAGTGCAGACGAGCGACGAGGCTGTGAAAACCAACAGACAGTGTTTAACATCTAACCCCCCGCCACGTGGATACGTCTCAGGTCATGCAATTACCACACACCCTATTAACGGTCATTACCATACAGATGCTCTGTCTGATAGACAGGTACATAATAAAGAAATTTGAAGACTGACAGAAGCTTCATCCTTGACATGACATTGTCTTAAATGCCTATCTAACCTTTTTTCACTTTTTTGTTGTTAATTGGTTTCTGGTGCTATAAATTTATATTATAAAACAGTTTTGGTCCTAGATGCTGAAAGGTCAATATAGAGATCCATCTATGCTAAAATACACCATATAGTACCAGTTATGACACTACTGTGTAAATCAATGCACTGCCTTGGGGATTATAGAAAATAACATTTTAAAGAAAAATTGTAGATTAAATTTTTTTTTTAATATTTTTATTAAGAAGGCAAAGGAGTTGTTTGCCACTGACTTTCAATTTTTCTTGTTAAAGAAAATGCAATAAGAAATGTGAAAAAAGCTGTTTTTAAATGAATAAACAAAATTTTTTAATGAAAAATGCAACTTTTAGACGTTAGTCTCAGAATTTGCTTACTTGACATATTGAACCATATGGTACAAACTTTTAGTGCAGAGTGTTCAGATTGTGATACATACATCAAATACAAGGATAATGTGACATGCAAAAATATGTGGGCATAAGAAAAGGAACTCGGTTTGGGCTAGAGGTTTTTAGATAGTATGGCCTTGTTCAACCTCTGTGCACATCAGCAAGCTTTGTTATCTATATTCCTCATCCAAAAACAGCGAGTAGCCTCTACAATAGCCCAGACAAGCAACTAATGGCCCTCCTTTTGTTTCCCCATACAATATGGGTGCTTTCCAGTACGTTCGCAAAATGAGACTTCAGACTGAAAATAACTAAATGGTAATTGGTGATCTAATTATACTGGCTTTGACTTGCCAAGCTGCCATGGAAAACAGCAGACAAGCTGCTAAAAAAAAGCTAAGCAAACAAACAAAAATTAGCTGTTTAATTATGGACAATGAAAAGGTCAGATTGCTGATGAGAACGCTTATTAACACCTACGTTCGTAAACTCGTGGACCCACATGTGCAAGCATAAACACATAAACAACTGTGGCCTGAGGCGAAATATCTCTTAAAATGAGCTGTTGGTAAATATGAATATTATTGGGGCAAGATTAATGAGCAGTATATCAGACAGGAAAAAAACATTAATTTGTTAATGAGTAAAAACGTGAATCTAAAACTAAACACACGTTCCAACATTAGCCAAGCAAACAACCAAATTTGCTAAATAAATGTCAAGGCTTTTTGTACAACAATGTTGTTGAGTAAAACGTCACCAAATTGAATCTATGTAAACATGTTTCAACTAAGATTTCACTGAGGTCTGTGCTACATATTCTAATTATTTTGAAGTTATCATTGTAAAATTAAATAAAAGCTTCTAATAATAAAGCATACAGCACACACACACAAAACAATAACAGCACCTCATAAAAAGTATTATAGTATATAGTTTATTTGTAAGTGTCCTCTCCATTTCAAGCTGCTTCCCCTCAACCCCATGGGAAGAGGTAGCAGACTAACAACAACATTATCAGTATCTGAGACCAATTTTCATACACAAGCGTCACTGTGTCAGATACCTCTGTACAAATGCTAAACCAAACAATCAGCGTGTGACAAAGTTGTTGTCACATAAATGTTTTAGTATGTAAAGTGTGCAAGTATTATATTAGGACTAACAACTAACCTTTCCTTTTATCATTTAAAATTTTAAGTTTATATATGAAGAGTTAATTTGCAAAAACCGAGAAACGCCACTTAAAAAAAAAAAGAGCTGATTGCCGTGCATTATTCTCCAAATATAGCACGATCTGAACCCTAAACACATTTTGTCAAAAAAGCCGGTTTTGTCCACTTTCAAGGCATCAAGCGCCCTTGTTGTTTTTGAACAGAAGCCGATAAGTCCATTTTAGCGAATCAGCACGCTGTATTCAGGTCAGGTGACAAGGCTACTTTCACTTTGAAAAGACGTGCTAGCTGAGAGGAGTTTCGTCAAAGCTGACTAAAAGCGATCGAGGATGGATAATTCCGACAAACTTGATGAACCTGTGATATCTTCTTCAGGGCGAAAAAGGAAAGTAAAAGCAGAAACGTTTTCACGGAACCTTGCAAAAGTAGCACGATACAATGGTGAGGGAAAAGCTCCGTGTATTGCATGTAATCACATCCATACAGTTTATGATCACAACAACAACAACGTTTGTTAGGCATCTACATTGTCATCTGAGCAGATTACAAAGATTAAACGAGTGTTTTTTTAAACTCTAAAACATGAAATGTGGAGTTATCTGCTTTTGCCAAAAAACGACTGTTGGAGTTATCTGCTTTTGCTATAAAACAAACTTTTAATATGTAAAAAAACTTACTTTCAATTAACTTTAATTTTGTAAATTAACTGTATTTGTTTAAGTTATTATTACTTAATCAAAACAACCCAACTGCAGTTTGATTGATATTACATGGAATGCGCAAAAAAAAAAAACGTGATTTCTGCAAAAAAAAAAAAAAAAAATTTAGTTTTGCACATTTTTTGCAAATGAACTCTTCATATATAAAAAAAATTTTTTTTTTTTACATTCCTTGCCAAGTTTTTTTTAAACAAGAAAAGTCATAAGTGAATAAAAAAACAACTCACATGTGTGACATGCACAGATGCACACTCTAAAACTGTATATAATCTATGCACATTTGGCATACTATTTACAACATACTATCAGTTGGTGTGCACTAATTATAATCACATATGCTATTTACAGACAGTATGCAAATTGGGACATGAGTTGATGCTGAGATGTCAAGAGTGCTATACTCACTGGCTGTGGGGCAGGTTTGGGCTCTGTAGACTTCACATGAAGATGAGTCATCATTGCTTGGAGACGCTGTTTGTCTTTTGTTAACTTTAAATAGAAAAAAAGGAAAAAAACATATAAACTACAATAAAAATTAAAAAAGATTCAGAACTTTTTTACTTGCAGTGTAGTGAAATATTCTCTCAGTTATCAGTAAAATAAATAACCCATTGTGGAAGGACAACTGACAAACATATGATTATTCTTGACATACATGTACTCAAATTGTGACCTTTACACTTGATACAGAGACACAACCCTAAAGGTTTATTAGCCAATAAAAATGAACACACAAGCTCTAGCCTTCAGTCATGGTTACTTCAGCCAAAGTGAATCCACATTGAACATTAGAAGACCTCCCTGACCTCCACACACTCTGATCTGGGCTGCATTACCCAATAACATTGTAAGCCAAAGCAGCTCATAGAAACCATTGGCAGCAATGATCTCTACGATCTACTTAGGCTTATGATGATTTTGGGGAAATGCAGCCCAGTTTTACTCCTCTCAGCTGGTACTTCTGAATTTATATGTGTGGCCCTCTTTGCTCTCTACTTTGGTACAGTATTCAAGAAAAATGTATTGGCATCATGACGTACTATCAAGCATTGGAATACAGCATAAATGGCTAATGAATGGACAGATGAGCATGCATATGGACAATGATCATTGCACTTTGATGCCTGGGGTGAATTCTTCCAGCATAAATAAAGGTGTTGCACACATTAAGAAATGAAAATATTGATCAAAAATATTGAGCTGGATTTGACGTCATACTGCTAGCATGAGCACCACAGTTCAATGTGTTAACCACTGCACAATAACTCCGGCACTTTATAATAGTGGTCGACCGATATGGGTTTTTTGACAGCCGATACCGATGCCGATATCTTGGAAAGCAGGGTGGCCGATATAATTTTATTTAATTTAATTCATATTTAAGAAATTTGAAATCATTTGAAAATGGATTCAAAAATAAACGTGTAAAATAAACATACTTATACTCTAGAAGACAAAGTATTTTTCACAAATAAATAAATATTTAATACAAATATAATTAAAAAGAAAATAAACACTGTAACCAACAGGGCACTCAGTATTCTGGGAAGTTTGTGTGCATTGGGAATCATATTTTTTCAAATAAAGCCAAGGTAGCACTCATTTTACATACAGCACACAGTGAAAATGACATGAATATGACAGTGGGCAAATGCATAAAGCGCAGCATAATTTGAAATCAGTCACGAGTTTAAAGTTTGTCGATCGCGCGTCTCCAGTGAAGCTGAACTCTCCTCCTGTCCGTATTCGACTGTCACAGAACACGCGATCATGCAGGTCACACGCACATTTCACAAGATCTCACCTAGATTCGACTAAGTCTGCAAGGTTTGTGAAATTAAATGTTCATTAGTCATTCAAAGATTTGTTTAAATTATATAAATGCGTATTTGCGGAATGCTGACGGCAAACGAGAAAGTATTATAATGTTTTCCTTTAATAATATAAAAGCAATGGTTATAATACTTTTTTGTACACATTTGAATTCCTTTGTAGATAGATAGACTTCTATCCGTATTAGACAGAACTGAATGACAACAGCGAACAAGAGGGAGAATGTGAGCACTGTGTGCTCAGGCACCGTCAAAATAAATAAAAGTCCCGCCTCAAACACATCGGCTAAACAGAAAAACTTATCGGCCAATGCCGATATAAAAAAAAAAAAAAAAGGCAGATATCGGCCTTGGCGATATATCGGTCGACCACTACGTTTTAATGCTCTGTGCCTGAATCTAAGAGTATACCTATCTCCCTTATCCTCTCAAAACCAAAACTTCTCATTAATTTTCCATACATCCCCAGCTCTGTAATGTCAATCAGTGAGCATTTGTTACGATTAATGCACATTAGCAAGTGATGCAATACAATAAACAAAATGAGTCAATCAATTCACTGAAATGACTGGTAGCTCACCCACCACTGTTGGTGTGCCTGGATTTTTTCACAAAGTGTTTTATTGTGGTGCCAAATAGTTAAAAGTCATAAACGACTTTAAAACCCAGTAAAATTGGAAATGTAATTATCTTGTGGAGTTAGCCCCAGGGCACTCCATATATCTTTGCCTGGCTGTCATGCGAACATAACACATTTTTAATGACTGGTTACTCACAATTGTACAAAATAATTTCATTTTTATCCCTCCCTCCTCTATCTCTGAGCTGCTACTTGAGAGTAAATGAGTGAGAGAGAGAGAGAGAGAGAGAGACAGACAAGAAGCAAACTTTTGAAGCCAGAAAAGGAAATGAACGAGGAGAAATTACACGTTACCTGCAGTTCCAGCTGTTGAACTACTTGCATCTGTACCCTGCACTGCGCCGTGCTCCTGTCATCCAAGGCATGTTCATTATTCAGATGTCTACAGAGAGAGAAAGAGCAGCCTTCATTTTAGTACCATATTTTACAGCCATCTATTAAACATTTGATAAAACTTTCATGGTAAAATATTGAATTACATTATCTGCACATTCTGCAGGGCAGTCATTTATTTCTCCATATTGGAAAAGTGAAAATGGTCCGAGATACGCATATACTAAAATGATAAAAAGTAAATAAAGCCAATGTCCACACATTCACAAATATCAAATTCCCCAAACAAAAATGAAGAGTGTTCTAACAAGATATCTGCATTACCGGAAATAGAAGCGCTCTTTACACGCCTCATGCATAATTCACGAACTGGCCGTTTCCACGCAAACCTACAGAAACCAAGTTGAGCAGACGAGAGAAGCGCCTCGACAAACTCAGGTGAAAAAACGATATTATAAATCGTCAGACGTGCACTCCCAGCTTTTAAAATGAAATGGATTCTTCTTATTTTCGGTGGCTTCTGCAGTTAATTATGTCATCTAGATTAAGAGAACTCAAATGAAGCCAGAAGGAAAAAGGCAAAGGACAACAAGGAGAAAAGAGATGGGATCTGTCATAAACTTGAATTATGAATATAATTATGCATGATTATTTTATACGGCCAAGACCTTTTTTCTCCCCCGCACGTTTATAACTAATCTAAATAAGTAGCTGGCCTCGACAAAGCGGGCCAAGCTTTCTTTTTCTTTTTTACCTCTCCTTTTTTTTGTGGTGATTTATATAAAATGATGGAGATAAGACTCACGAGTGAAGATTAAGTGAGAGCAGGTTTTCCTCGGAGCAGGCATCATGGGAAATGCTGTGTAAACTGTGCACCTTTAGCCTGACCTTGGGTTTAGGTGTTATTTAGGGAGCGTGGAGCTTTGTGTTGGCCAGTACAGACTGGACTTTAACAGCATGGATGGGTCAGTTAATACATAGTGGGCAGGTGAACAGACACTGGTTGTAGGTAAAACCATTGCAACAGTAGGAGCTGTGGTGCAGTGGTTAGCGCACATGCTTAAAAAAAACAGTGCGGCGCTTGTCTGGGTGATGCAGATCGAATTTGGCCTGCCCCAGATCTCTACTATATGTCACATAAAAAAAAAACTCAGACTCAAAATAAAAGAAATACAAATGAGAAACCTTATGTTTTTGAGTTTATGCTCACCAAGGCTTCATTTATTTGATCAAAAATACAGTAAACATAGTAATATTGTGAAATATTATTGCAATTTAAAATAACTGTTTTCCAATTTAATATTTTTTAAAATGTAATTTATTCCTGTGATGGCAAAGCTGAATTTTCAGAAGCCATTACTCCAGTCTTTTATGAGCCTTCAGAATTGATTCTAATATGCTTATTTGCTGTTTATTATCATTGTTTTGCAGTTTCATATTTTTGTGGAAACTGTAATTCAAAAGAAAGTTCAAAAGAAAAGCATTTAATTGAAACAGATCTTTAGTAATCTTCTTTAATCTGTAGCATTATAAATGTCTTTACTGTCACTTTTGACAAAAAAAAAAACAATTTCTTTAAAAGAATCTTACAGACCCCAAAATTTTAGTGTGTATAACAACACAACACAAAACCTCTCAATAAACTAATTTAAAATGTGAAACGTATGTGATAAGTAATTTAGATGAGTGATTGGCACAACTCATTCCCACAATTTCTGTATGTTGCGGGTGGTTTCTGGGTGTTGATATGTGGCTGCTAGGGGGTTCTGGGCTTTTGTTTGATGGATGCTTACTAGCCCATGTCAAAAAGTGTGTTCAAATGCCTAAACCTTCAATATGAGCAATAGTAATAGCAAGCACCAACGATATGTTTCTAAAAGCAAGAAGAGAGAGACTCAGACAGAGAGAGAGGGAAAGAACTAGAAGATCA